CGAAAAAGCCAACTTTTTGTTCGCTTCGGAAAGTGCTGATGGGGGACGATTTTTTTCCCATTTGGAACTCAGATGGTTTTAGTGATATATATTATTTTTATTTTAACAGCATTTGCAAAGGCCCACCCGAACGACCCGGAATATTCGTGCAGTCGACAAAAGACGGAGGAGTCGCCCGAGAATTCGGGCTGAAACCTGGAGACCAGATCCTCGAGTGCAACGGGATGACTTTGGACAGCGTCGATTTTGCGCAGGTGAATCAATCTGAAGTTGATCCAATTTTAGAAAATTTATTTGACGTGAGAGTCGATAAAAAGTTGACAAAAACTAATCCGGAAGGTAACCGAAAAAAAACTCTGAAAGATGAAACACAAAATTCCCCTGTTTTTTTCGGAGTATGAATCAGAGTATAAATGCAATTCCTTTTTTAATTTTTAAAAATATAAATAGCTCAATTTGGTCATGTGGTAAAAAATTTTTAGAAAAATAAAAGTTTTTAATCTCTTGACCGAAACTTTGGAAAAGTGTCCGTATCTTAAGATATTTCCCATCCTCATATCGGTATTTTCAAGTGACGCGAAGTTGAATCGTCAGCTTTTCGGGGCGTCCGCATGTCGGAGTCCACCTATATTTTTTCCTGTTGGAAGAAGTGCGTCTTCTGATCAAATGTCTGACGCTCCCTGAAATCTTCAGCTTTTTCTTCTGAAAAAAAAAATTGCGTCTTGTAGTGGCGAAAATACGGTACAGTGAAATTTTCTACATTATCTAAATGAACAAACGAATGAAAGTGAAAATAATAGAGAATGAAAGTGAAAAATAATAGATGAAAAGAAATGAAAAATAATAGAGAAAAAAAATGAAAAATGATAGAAGAAAAAATATGAAAAATAATGGATGAAAAACTGAAAAATAAGAGATGAAAAAAGAAAAATAATGCTGTAGAATGAGAATGTAAATAGCAGAAAATGAAAATAACAGAAAAATGAAAATAGCAAAAAATGAAAATAGCAGAAAATGAAAATAGCAACAAAAAAAAGAAAATGAAACCGGCACTGAAAATAATGGTAATTAAAACTAAAAAATCTAATTCCTGATGCCCGTTTCCGCCCCGTGAACGCAGGCCGTCCACTTCCTCAAGTCTGCCGCCAAGTTGGACCTGCGGATCAAGAAGGGCGTCGCGGCGGACTTGTTCGGACCGCACCACCAAGCCTGCGGCAGCCACGGGGAATCCTCGGGCTACAACAGCTCTTCGTCCAGTGTGTCCGGAGACACGAGCGCCCCCTGCATGATGCCCGACGGTGGCGGCGGAGGGGAGCAGCAGCAGCGGATGTCGCCGCCACGGGCGAGCCATCTGCTTACCCCGGGTGGTGGTGGCGCAGCCGCCGGAATCGTAGGCAGCAGCAGCAGCAGCAGCGGTGGCGGCAATGGCAGCCAGAACGGCGGCAGTAAGCGGCTGTCGATGGTCGCCGAGGAGCGCGGCGACTCCGCCAGCTTGGATGTGTCGACCAAGTGAGTGGATTATTTCAGAAAAAGCTGCAAATTTTTTCAAAGAGTCAGAGTCCCTTATAATATAAAAGCTGCATTCATTGCAATAAAATTCGCGCTTTTTCCGTCTCAATTTCATGCAAAAATAATAATTCGGCTTCTCAGAGCCCACAATTCTAATTGCGAAATTTTACTTTTTGGGATTCGTTACCCCTCTATACTTGAGTACCCTGTGCACTTGTTGCCCCCAAAAAATGATATCAGACTCAAATACGATCTATTCCCTCGAATTTTTCAAAATTATAATGCGCATTATCCATGGATCACGAAGATAAATCATAGAAGAAAATCAAAGCGAATGCAATTGAATTCGAGCATCGAAAATCAAAATTGTCAGCGCTGAGAAGTAACCAGTATTCAAACTGAGTTATTAGTTATTTATCCATTTTCATGGAGCCAATTCAATTTACCGAGAACTGCAAAACCAATTGATGTTAACCCTGCATTAAAAAAAAAAAATTTCTTAGTTCTTTTTCGAAGTTCCGCATGGATTGATCAATTTTATTCCGATTTGCCTTCAGTATTCTTGATAAAACTTGAACTTGGGTCAAGGGAGCTGATCGAAAGTTTTTTTCTTCAGTGCAAAAGATAATTGGAGTATTTTGACATGGCTCTAACACCGTTATGCAAATCCTGACGAAAATTGCAGGTCCAATGAAAAAGGGCTCGTTATACTCCGATGAAGAAAAATTTAATCTCAAGGGCAAGTA